AAAGAAAAGAAAAAAAAGGCATTATCAAGTAAACCTAAGTTGCTTCAGTCTAGTAAGTGTTCATCTTGAAATATTATTAACAATTAAAATCGTTAAATATTTCACTGCCAAAAATCTACCATGACCTGAAGAAGGACATTTTTATAATTATACTAAAAGGCATTTTACTTTCTTAACAACTACAAACTATGAATCAAGACGACAAAATGCATGTAGACGATTGTGTACAACAGGTTTTTCAGGAAAGTTTCGATCATGTTGATAATTTAGAGGCCATATCAAATATGAGACAGTAGGCTTTGTATGAGTAAGCATGACAAGGAGACACTGAAGTCAGATCCTTCAGGTAATGAAATCATCTGATGACGTCCCATTCAGACCCAACCGGTTCCTCACTTCCAGTCACATCAGGACAACAATAATGTTTCAACTGGTGTCCTTCTGCAATTGCTTTCCACAGAATGCACCGTCTGTCAAGTGAGGTCTGTTTAGCTCTTAAAGTGCGATTAGTGGCCATTACAAGGCAAAGATAAAGATTAACGCTTCTCTCGTCGAATCCCTCGGCGTCCGGCGCGATGCTACAGAACATAGGAGGCCGGGCTTCCATTCTAATTCTCGTATAATTTAAACCACTCAGCCCACACTGACATAATGTGCGCTCCTTCCTCCACTGCACTCTTGATTTACAATCCAGAGGGGAGATGGGAGAACTGACAAGCCCTGTGTTTTGGAAAGCTCTGCATCTAATTAGCAGAGGCTTTCTGGTTGCCCGGGACATGAGATTTGGCAGTGCGTGTAGCTCCTCTCATTAAAACAGCACTCCTCGTGGAGTGGACGCACAAAAAAAGCCTCCCTCTCAACAGAAAGAAAGAAAAAGGAAACGATTCCTTTTCCACCAACACATTTGTATAACTGTTATTTAGCGCGCTCGCTTTTATACGCAAGTATTCAACCTGTCTGTTTAGCAGACGTCCAAAGCAAATGGCATTTTCTTTTTCTTTCAGTGTTTCTTTGGAAAAAACCTTCTTTGTGAAAACTCCCATCATTATATTTTTCTTTTCCATTGTTAAGTGTATTGCTTTGTAGACTCTCCTTTGAATGATCTTAAAGCGAATTAGCATAAAGCAGACCCGTCACTAAACAGAAAACCGAGAAAGAGAGAGGAAGAGCTCATCTAATAGGGCTGAATGGGGTTGCTGTGAGTCGGGCGGACTGCAGTTTGTGTATCTGGAAGACATGAAGTTATAGGCTATAGGGATTTCCGCCGGTTGCTATTTAAGTACCCGGCACTTACTCACAAGACTGCCAGAGGCAAAATGGTGGTCAGTTGCTTTGTTTGGGGTTTTGGTGAGATTTGAGAAGGACGTGTAAGCCAGTGAGGCGTGATCGAGTGGTTTTGGTTCTGTTTCATGGCACCTGTGTCTGTGTGGGATGCGTATTAAAATAGATGTTTGTCCTGCTGGAAGTTCTTGTGCAGTTTTGGAATTAGCTCATGTTTTTAGGCAAACAAGAAAACGGACACTCGGTATTTTATATAGTGCCATTAAATAAATTTGTTCAAAGCTGAATGAATAACATCTGTTGCATGTTGATTAGCAAGAAAAATTATTTCAACTGAGTTTGTAAAACTAAATGAAAGACACACTCACAGAAATACTCTTTGTAAGTATGTGGGGCAATTTACGTTAAACCCGTGGATTTACAATGCAAACTGAAATTTAACCAATAACTAACCATTATTAATTGGCGACGCTAACAGTCAGGCTACATATTTTCCAATCTTTCTGAACAGATTGAGAGGAAGACAGTGGGAATTTGGTGTTCATGATAAAATCATCTGTTGTTTAGCTCTCGTTAGTTGTTTATCGTAAAACAATTATATGTTGTAACCCAACAAATTGTTATTTGATGGTTATTGAATATTAATTAATAATTTGGTAGCACTTTATTTTAAGGACCAATTCTCACTATTAACTAGTTGCTTATTAGCATGCATATTACTAGCATATTGGCTGTTCATTGGTACTTATAAAGCACATATTAATGCCTTATTCTGCATGACCATATTTTAAGCCATTAATCCTACCCATACCTAAACTTAACAACTACATTTACATTTAGTCATTTAGCAGACGCTTTTATCCAAAGCGATTACAAATGAGGACAATAGAAGCAATCAAAACCAACAAAAGAGCAATAAAATGTAAGTGCTTAATAAATAAAAAGAAAACAAGTAGATAGAATAGAAAAAAATAGAGAATGCTAATAGAGGGTCCATTTTTGTAAATAAATAAAAAGAAAACAAGTAGATAAAATAGAAATAGAACAGAGAGTGCTAGTGTTAACTACCTTACTAACTATTAATAAGCAGCAAATTAGGAGTTTGTTAAGGGAAAACTCTTAGTTAATAGTGAATGTGTTCTAAAGTGTTACCAATAATTGTAATGTTATTGCCTGTAAATTACATATAAATGTCCAATATTAAAATTCTTCAATATTTTATTTGCAATTAAAAATAATAAAAAAATACAAACTAAAATCAATAATTTTAAATACAAATGTATTAACTGAATTTAGGCAGCACAGCATTATAATTAAAAATCGATTTTCATTTTTAGAAGATAAAATTTTACATTTAAGAGTGTTACTAAAGGGTAATGACCCTCTGTCTGAAATGACGAGTTTTTAAGGGGCGGCTCCTTTAAGGCTTGTCAGTAAACAGCAACTGTTATGATTTGCTAACATCATTTCAGGAGAACGTCAACACCTCCTTGCTATTGCATGTATAAAACAACATTTGCAGACAAAGCATTATGAAATTGTTTACTTATGGTTTGTGATGCAGCTATCAGGTCCAATACAGTTGGCTGCTTCATCTTTAATAAAAAAAAAGTTGTGTCAAAAGCTCAAAGAAAATTGTATTTCTCATGTCATGACCACTTTAAACTAATTTTTTTAACATAAATGAAAAAGAAAAGATTTAAAGGAATCTAAAAGTAAAAATAGTGGCTATGCACACCCAATTAAATATCCAATATCGGCTGATCTGTTATATCGGTCGATAACCGATATGGTACCGATATATTGTGCTTTTGATGCACATATTTCAGATGTGACCTAGTGGTTAGTGCTAGGTGTTAAGCTGTGATGTTCATTCAAGTTCATATTCAGCTTGTGTTTGTGACCCCCCCCCCATCATTTCCTGTCTGCTCCTGACTGTCAGAAAATGAAACAAAAAACTAAAATAATATATATAATTTACATTTTACGGCACACCCTTAGGCTGTTTATTTCAATAGTAAGCTGTCAGCAGGTTAGAAATAAAGTAGTGTTCAAAGTTGCCATGTAATCAAGGTTTCACAAGCAAGCCAGTCGTCTCTGTGTTTATTTTGACTGATGCACTGTTAATGACATATCTCTGTCTAGCCTGTGTGTTTTTGTGTGCACGAGAATGGGTCCATGTGTGTACGTTTATCTCCCCAGCCTCCGATGGGTTCCTCAGACTGTCTGCTGCAGGGCTGGAGCGCTTGATTCATTAGACTGTCAGCCTGTGCCTGAGAGAGTAATGCTTTTATGCAGGATTAGAACAGGGCCACCAGTGTTAGCTCTACAGGGAAATAAATACATGGAGGATGCGCCCCCCCTTAGCTAACCATTAGTCCTGCAGTCAACACCGCCACCGTAGATTTGTTTCTCTGAATCCTCTGATATGTCCTGCTTTACCAAAGGCCTCCGATTTCTTTTGGGCTGTTACTTTAATCAAAAAAAAAAAAAAGACTTGTGAGAAGTTTGATGCAGGCGGCTAATAACCGAGTCCTGTCCTGTCGTGTTTTGATTATTTTTGCTTTGCAACGGAGACACTTCCATCTGGCCATGGTGGAAAATGAAGGGTTACAGGCGGTTGTGGATGACAGCTTTGAGGAGATTGTGTGACTGCGAAAACGCTAGACCAATTGAAATGCCCTGTCTATGGGACGAATGGATTTAAGGCAGGCGTTGTAAGGAATACTTGTTGCAGGAAAGGTGGAATAGGGTGTTGTTAAAATGCTTGAATAACCGAAGCCTTCTTTTGGAGAGAGGTCATGATGAGAGATGCAGAACGAATGCGTCATTAAGAAAATTCAGTGTTTGCTCGATCGTTTCAAATTATAAATATGATCATTAGCCTCCAAAAAAAAAAAACCTCCAAAAAAGACTTCTTCATGAAAGAGCATTTAGAAAACTGAAAATATCAGTTATTGGAAGTGGTGCCCATCAGCAACCCATAAGTCCATTTCCCTCAAATTACCATTCATTACCATTTTAGTGTCAAACCATTAGTTTGACCAGCTAATCCTTGCAATTACCGGTAGTATTATACGATTTCCTAACAATTCATTGCAGATTCTCTTTATGGCTCCATTAAAAGGATGGCTAATTTTGTGGCAAACTTGATTTCTCGTCAGTGGAGCCGGCGTTTCCTGTCGAATGGCCTTTGGAGAGCAAAGGCTCAAGGCTCTTTTATGGCCACCTCTCAGGCTCGGCGCGTCGGTATGAGAGTGTGACTGTGAATACGAATCGCCTCTTTAGCCCTGCTGCTCTGGAGGGTCAGGCATGTGTGCGAGACTCTGAGGCGAAGACAGCACTACAACCACTTTTGTTCTAAATGGATGTGGGAAGTGATAGCAAGGATGTTTTAGCACACTTTCCATTAGATTGGTGTAAAAAGGTTGATTTAATATGGATATGAGTTCACATGATGTCCATACCTGACATGCTTTCTCAATTGTGTCTTGGTATAGTTTTTGAATCACTTTCATTAGAAAGTCATTAACACATATTATAATGTCGAACAGAACAGATTTGTGTACATTCTTAGACAAGTATAGAAATTAATAAATCAAAGTTTAATGATGTTTCAAACTACCTGAAAGTACATTAACCACTGATCTGGCAAATATATTTTAGACTTTGTTTGAATAAATTTAACTTCTTGTCTCTGCAACCCTTCTCTCCAAAAGAGTCTGCCTAGCTTTGGACCGTACTTAAAGACGAAGACTGAAGCCCTGGCGAGGTACAAGAAGATCCTTAAAGATGCTAGCGGCAATGTGATCACAGACACCAGTGATTCTAGAGTTCCCCAAAAAAACATCCCCAAAGAACCCATCCCTAATGTAAA